TCCCAGCATAGTGTTATTCTAGGTACTTGGTTTTTTAACATATATAACCTTACGTGGGGCTTTCTTTTTTATTTTATACAGCTTTAAAATATATATATATTCTTCTTTGAGTTGGAGTCTCACTCTGTCACCCAGGCTGCAGTGCAGTGGTGCCACCTCCGTTAACTGCAACCTTCACTTCCTGGGTTCAAGTGATTCTCCTACCTCAGCCTACCTACTGAGTAGCGGGGACTACAGGCACGTGCCACCACGCCCACTAATTTTTTTTTATTTTTAGTAGAGATGGGGTTTCACTGTGTTAGCCAGGATAGCCTCTATCTCCTGACCTCATGATTTCCCTGCTTAAGGGCTAATGATGGCCCCAACCTCCATATTATCTGGCCTAAAATATGTAATTGGCTGTAAATTTTTTGATTCCAAACCCCTTGGCCAAAGGAACTACCAAAGAAACGTAATAAAATCTAATTAAGGCCATGTGGGAAACAGGGAGTCAGACACACTTTGCTCAACCCCTATTTGAAATGTAGGCCAGCTTCAAAAGGCCTTTTAAAATTATGAAAATAAAATGGTGCCCTTTACACAAAAGAAAATAGTAGCTCCTCTGTTTAACCAGAAGACTTAGTCTCACTGAAAACTTAAAAAGAAGGAACTGGCTGGGTGCAATGGCTCACGCCTGTAACCTCAACACTTTGGGAGGCTGAGGTGGGTGGATCACGTGAGGCCAGGAGTTCAAAACCAGACTTGCCAACATAGAAAAACCACATCTCTACTAAAATTACAAAAAATTGCCTGGGCATCTAGGTACACGCCTGTAATCCCAGCCACTCAAGAGGCTGAGGCATGAAAATAGCTTGAAACCAGGAGGCAGAGGTTGCAGTGAGCCCAGCCGAGATTGCGTCACTGCACTCCAGCCTGGGCAACAGAGCGAGACTCTCTCTCAAAAAACAACAGCGAAGTGTTCCCCCAAGAATCAATAATAACCAGAATTAAGGGGCCCTTATCAGATATTCTTAATTACTCTAACTACTGTTAGGCTTCAGGAAGTCACTAGTTGGGTACAGTTGTCCAGGATTAAACCTGTTTCTTATGAGGTCCTGTAGGCACAAAAAGTGGACACCACAACCTCCGTTTATAAAACCTAGAAAACTTAAGGCTGCTGTTTTGCAAACACATAGATTAATAACGTGGTTCTGTGGGTGGACATAGGAGCATTAATTTTTCTCTCTCTTCCAATTATAGTTTCCTTGTTTAACCTCCTGGTAATGTTTATATCTTCTAAATTTCATGTAAAGATGATACGGTCTGTCAAAATCTTCCAATCCATTCTGTCTTCTGATCCCACAAATGAAAGCGTCCTGCCACTGGGTCCCTTAGTTCAGGTACCAAAGATTTTTACTCCTCAAATGCTAGGGAAGGCCTGCACCCATAAAGTCAGCAGGAAGCACTTACAGAAAATGGACTCTGCACTTCTGCAGTCCCCTTAAGATTAAGGAGGAGTATCTAATCTCTGAGGGCCAATGAGTTAGGAGATAGATGGGACTCAACCCAGGACCAGATTGAAGATTAGCTGACACAAGGAAGAGACAATGGAACCACCTGTCCATAAGACATGCCCACCAGGGCCATATCAGTTTACCATTGCCATGGCAACACCTGAAAGTTAATGTCCATCTCCTAGCTACTTCTGAATAACCCACTCCTTAATTAGCACGTCATTAAAAGAGGGGATAAATACGACAGTAAAACTGCCTCTGCGCTGGTGCTCCTGGCACACTGCCTGTGGGTAGCTCCGCTCCACAAGAGCAGTCACAGAGCTGTAACCGCCACCTCGGTAAAGCCGTTTCCTTCCACCACCCGCTTACGCTGCGCTCCTTCCTGAGGGAGGCCAAGAACCTGCCCTGCACCACTTTTGTCAAGTTAGTTGTCAAAAACTACTCATAATATCCTCTCTTTAATTATTTTACTCTTATAGGCTGTGTAATGACTTTCTCCTTTCCATTTGCCATATTGTGTTTTGTTTCCTTTTTCTTTCCCTCTTCTTTATACACCCTTCATCAAGTACTCACAGGCTTCAATTCAGTTCTTTCTTGCGGTAGTATGGCTCATGAGAAAACTGATTCTTCTGGGTATGAGGTCATTCACCGTTTTCATATGTAACACTGTAAAAAGTACTGTGACATAAGCCTCCACTTCACAAACTGACCACTGTCAAGCATCATCTCCCGACCAATAGAAATTATTTGTTCCTCACTAGTTCACATAGGAATACACATCTCAAGTTTAAATGGTGGATTTGCACTTTACCACTTGGTGTATTCAAGAAGATGAATAATATTAATACAGCAGTAGGTCCGGGCACAGTGGCTCAAGCCTGCAATTCCAGCACATTGGAAGGCCGAGGCAGGCAGATCACCTGAGGTCAGGAGTTTCAGAGCAGCCTGGGCAACATGGTGAAGCCCCGTCTCTACTAAGAATATGAAAATTAGCCAGGTATGTTGGCACGCACCTGTAATCCCAGCTACTTGGGAGACTGAGGCAGGAGAATTGTGTTAACTAGAGAGACGGAGGTTGCAGTGAGTCAATATCATGCCACTGCATTCCAGCCTGGGTGACACAGCGAGACTCTATCTCAAAATAAATAAATAAATAAATAAATAAATAAATAAATAAATAAATCAGTAGCTTTAAATTTTAGACATCTATTTGACAAGAAATTGCTAGTTCCTTCTCTCTAAAATAATGTTCTGATTCTTTCAGGAATGAGCCTAGTTTGATGCCTCTCTCCTCAACAAGACAAAAGTGTGGCATAAATCTATGAAAAATTCCATTTCCCTGTGCCTACAACCACTACCCGGGAAGGAAAACTTCTTCCCTTGCTCTAGTGCTTTCTTCTACACCCAGTTCCACCTAATCTGTGACTCAAAACAATACTTGTCAGGAAACATTCTGGAAAGAGTAAAAGGCTTCTAAGGTGTCAGAGATTCCTGCACCACCATCTATTCATCTCTAGAGGGCGCTGTGAGTTTGAGGAAGAGCAGAGCTTGTAAATCTACTTGATTTTCACTCCCACTGTATTTCCTAACAACAGCCACAGCAACACCAGAACATCACAGAACAAACATCTACTACTTCCAAGGCTTTTATCTCAGTCAATCAGCTCTGCCTCTATCACAGCAGCCAGAAGGTTTGATAGTCACACCAATAGTGCTGTGGCTTTCTTTTCATAATTGGAAAAGTGGGCAAGACTCAGTGTAATGTGTAATGCAGGCATTCCTTAAGCCAGTTACCATTCAGTTTTTAGATTATCATTGCACACATATACCCAGCATATGTCTAATAGATATGTAAAAATCCATGAAGCAAGAGTTATAACAGCTAGTGTTCTCTATTGTATTGTATTTTCTTCTTATATCATCTTCTTCTTTTTGTCATTAAATAAAAATTTGTTGAAGTCAGTCTAAATTAATTATTGGATCACAAGTAGATAAAATGTTATTTTTTTGTTTGTTTGTTTATTTGTTTTTTTTTGATAACACATTTCCCAGAGAATATGTTTCTTTGCAAGACACAGTCCTCATTTCCAAGATAGCAAACCCAACAAAATTATACTGGAGCGAGCACACAAGTAATGATGGTAGCTTTTCCTTATTGTCAGTCCTGGGGCAAGAAAAACACAAAAGATAATAACGTAGAATAAAGATACATAAGAAAGAAGGACAGCAACAGGACATGGCAACCTTTTATATGGTAACATTTTGATAATGGATAATGAGAAGTAATGTGTTAGACAGGGATGGGCAGGAATGATTGAAGGTCTAAGTACTTTAGCATAGACTAAGACCACATCATTAGGATTTTTAGAGTTGTGTACAGTTACTGAAGAAAAAGCCTTAGAATTTAATTTGACTGTGGATAAAACATTCTTGGAGGCCGGGCACGGTGGCTCACGCCTGTAATCCCAGCACTTTGGGAGGCTGAGGCAGGTGGATCACAAGGTTAGGAGATGGAGATCATCCTGGCTAACACAGTGAAACCCCGTCTCTACTAAAAAATACAAAAAATTAGCCGGTCATCGTGGCGGGCGCCTATAGTCCCAGCTACTTGGGAGGCTGAGGCACGAGAATGGCGTGAACCCGGGAGGCGGAGCTTGCAATGAGCAGAGATCGTGCCACTGCACTCAAGCATGGGCTACAGAGTGATACTCTGTTTCAAAAAAAAAAAAAAAAAAAAAAAAATTCTTGGATTAGATTTGAGACGATTTTCCATGCTAAGTATATTTATGATAATGATGATGACTATAATGCTGAAAACCTAAACAACAAAAACAATTGTCGCATACATAATGTCCTGAATGCTATTGTAAATGTTTTATCTTATTTTCTTTAAATTGTCTAAAGCACTGTAAGGTAGGTACTACTATTGTCACAGTTACACAGACATGGAAACTGAGACACAGGGAAGCTAAGTTAGTTGGTTAATTTCAAGCAATTGGCAAGCCATAGAGAATCTATGTCAGGGCCTGCCAGGACATGTGACTGTGAACAGAAGTTTTTAATTCAAAGAGCGTATGTGTGTGGGTTAATGGAAAGCTTGAGGACCCACAGAAAACATTACTAACAAGCAAATGAAAGGTGTTCTGGAAGATTATGTTCTAACAGACTCTTCATTTCCATCGATCCAATAATGTACTTACAGAGATGACCGGGCATATTGAGGACAGGAAGAGATAAATGAAAACACAGCCTTTTATATTGTTCTTAATGCGGTTATGCCAAACATCATCTGGGTGAATTGAGGTAATTGAGGAGAAGAAAGACACAGGAGTGAAATTCTGTGATCACCAGGGGGAAGTTCTACACTCAGACTGAGCCAACAGACTTTTCTGACCTGAAAACCAGGGAGGCGCAGGATGCTCCGTGCAGAGAGGAAGAAGCAGGTGGTCCCTGCAGCCGGAAGCCCAGCTGCCACCCCAGCTGCTTTGCATGTCCCTCCCAGCTGCCCTACCTTCCAGAGCCCATATCAATGCCTGGGTCAGAGCTCTGGGGAGGAACTGCTCAGTTAGGACCCAGAGGGAACCATGGAAGCCCCAGCACAGCTTCTCTTCCTCCTGCTACTCTGGCTCCCAGGTGAGGGGAACATGAGGTGGTTTTGCATATCAGTGAAAACTCCTGACACCTCTGGTCAGCAAGAAATATAATTAAAATTCAGTGTAGATCAACAATTTTGGCTCTACTCAAAGATAGTGGGTTTGATCTAGATTATAATAGTGCATTTCCGTTTTCTTTCCAATCTCAGATACCACCGGAGAAACAGTGGTGACGCAGTCTCCAGCCACCCTGTCTTTGTCTCCAGGGGAAAGAGCCACTGTCTCCTGCAGGACCAGTCAGAGTGTCAGCAACAGGTTAGCCTGGTACCAGCAGAAACCTGGGCAGGCTCCCAGGCTCCTCATCTATGGTGCATCCAGCAGGGCCACTGGCATCCCAGCCAGGTTCAGTGGCAGCGGGTCTGGGACAGAGTTCACTCTCACCATCAGCAGCCTGGAGCTTGAAGATGCTGCAGTTTATTACTGTCAGCAGGATAATGACTGGAAACCACAGTGATTGAACATGAAACAAAAACCTCAACAAGACCATCAGTGTTTACTGATTATACCAGCTGCTTCCGTCACAGAGAGCAACTGTGGTGGCCACTGAGTTTTAGCATCTCTGCTCTAATTGGACATTTTGTGGTTTAGCGCACACACACACACACACAACTCCTTGAATAATTTGGACTCTGATTCTTGGACTCTCTTCACCTGAGGCCCCAGAATCTCAGGTTTCCAGAAATAATATCTCTCTATATGAATCCTTATATAACCCCAGTCTTTCTTAACTTTCCCAGTAGAAGTAAGCCAGTGCATGCTACACTGCTCCATTTGAATTCTGCAACATTCTAAGTAGTAGAAAATTCTATGTATTTATCCAAATAGTTGACTAACTTAAAGCTGTTCATGTGAAGATACTACCATAGCTGAATAAATACCTTTTTTTTTTCTTCAGATATCAACATTTCAGTGGTAAATGGTTATTATGGAAACGTTTGCTATTTAAAAGTGAACTAAAATATTTCTTCAGTTTTCTCTATGATGCAGTGGACTCTAAAAGGATTAAAGTCTGTAAAAATAAAGTACATATTAGGTAAGGAAGAAATAGACTATTCCTAATGACGTCTGCAAATGACCAAGTAGAAGCAGTGATAGAAGCAGTTTTTTTCATTATTTTTCTCCAAGACTTCCTTCCAAAAGGGATTTCATTGATCATATTCATATTTTGTCAGCTATAAGACATGTTGACATTATGTAACATCTGATATGAGGCACTGAGGACACATCCTATCTGTATTATTCTTGCGAAAATTAATGGTGTGAATTGAATCAGTAGTAAACATCATACAAAACCAATTAGGAGGACATTATTCAACATAACTGGCCAGTGAACTTCAAATGTTTGAAGGCCATGAAAGAGAAACAAAAGTGAGAAACTATCATAGATGGTAAGACATTAAGGACAGCATAACCAAATAAAATATGAAAACCAGAATTTTATCTTGTAATATAAAAAATAACATTAATGGGAAAATCAGTGAAATCCACATAGGATTTTACATGAATTAACTAATAACATTATATCTATGTTCATCTCATGGTTGTGATGCTGTGGTTATTTATGAGGCGGACATTAGAGCAAGCTGGAGGAGGAGTATATGGGAACCATCTTTGCTATATTTTTAAAATTTTAAGTCTAAATGTATTTCCCAATAAGTTTAAAACAGATACACACACAAGTAAGTAAAAAAAAAAATAAGAAAAAGGTGTTTATTAAACAATTCCACAAGTTTCCTCCTATTTTGAACCTTTTTTTATTTCTAATTCTCATCTTTATTAAAGATGCTAGGTCTACAATCATAGCTCACATTATGTGGAGTGTAATCACTAATTCGCTCAGTTCTACAACACAAAGAAGGCATCTTAAAAATTGACAGGGCGTTCCTTCATGAATGTGAAAACTAGGGATCAGGATTCTCTATTTGTTAGAACCTTGGTTTCTTTTTAAACGGAGGGTGCAGAGTTCAAGTTCTCAAATCCAAAATTACTTATGTTAGTCCATAATCTTATTCCCTTTCAGCGTGGCTATTATGTTCATTTAAATGCATTTTAGAAGGCATCTCTGTTTTTGGCATCCCAAAGAGTTTAATAAATCTTCTGTGCAAAATTAAACAACAAACACACGTATAAATACAAAGCTAAAAAGTCAAAACTATTTCAGCACTCTGAAAATTGAGGAAGCTAAAATAATTAAAAATGTATATTCTTTATAGAAAAAAAAAGTACTAGTACTTTGAGTAAGGAAAGAAAAAGTCTGTAACCTTTTTGCCTGTGACAGCATGCTTCTACCCCCAGCTCAATCAGCATGGATTACAGAACTGGAGTGTTACCAATATAGGATAGCAAATAAAACTAGCAGCTTGCTGCCAAAATGGGTGGACTTGAGTAAAGCCAAGAAGTGAAGTAAAATTATTCAGTGTTTCCAGCTAAACATGCAGAACTCCACAGGAAATGGACAGAAAAAGCCCACAGCTTTGCTAGTCCAAGATGATGTCCTGGTTGGGGCAACTAGTACATCTGCTGACAGTAAGTAGCAGATTCCTGGATAAGATAGAGCCATATGCTGAAACAATCTCTGCACACATTCCTAGTAACTTTGAAGCTATAGATACGAGTGATGAGACCCAGGAGTGCCTGGTGCAAGGTAAAACCCGAGAGAGGTAAGAACCGGCTGCATTTTGCATGTGCTTTTTAAACTACACACAGATGGATTGACAGAAGACAGATTTACAAACTCCTGATATTTGAGCAAAACTTCTTCTCAAATGATTGGTGACCACTGAGCTATGCAGATACATGTGCAGTTCCTATAAATTCAAACTAAAGCAGAGATATCAGTGGTCAAACACCACGTGAGATACAGATTTTTCAATATCATGCATTGAAATTACATTTAACATGTCTAATCCACTGAATGTTATAGATCAACCTATTCTATCCTAAATGTGCTCAGAACACATGCATTAGCTTACAGTTTGCCAACATTGTCTAACACAAACCTTATCTTATATGAAGTGTTGAATATCTCATGTAATTTATTGAATACTGTACTGACAGAGAAAATAGAATGGTTGTATGAATACGGGAAGTACTATTTCTACTTGAATGCATATCACTTTCACATCATCTGAAAGTGAAAAAATTATAACTCCAACTGCCATAAGTCAGATACTATCAGTAAGTTCAGACAAGCAACTAAGAAGAAAATTTTAAAATGCTCAAAAAAATGGAACAAATTCCAGGCCTTACATGATGACTCAAGCTTGTAATCCCAGTACTTTGGGAGGCTGATACCGAAGGATCACTTGAGGCCAGGAGTTCGAGACCAGGCTGGGCAAAATAGCGACACCCTTGTCTTTAAAAATTAAAAAAAAAAAAAAATAGCAGAGAGTGGTGGCATGCACCTATAGTCCCAGCTACTCAGAAGGATGAAACTGGAGGATCATAGAGCCCAAGAGGTTGAGGTTGCAATGAGCTATGATCACGCCACCACACTCCAGCTTGGGTGACAGAGTGAGACCCTGTTTCTAAAAAAAATAAAATTAAGAAAACCCACAGTCCAAAGAGAGGTACTATAATATATTATCAAAAATATACAGTTTTCAGTTTAAAAATTTATGGGAATAAAACAGAAAAGTATGACCTATATTGAAGGAACAAAAATAAAGCAACTACAATAATAACAACAGAAAATAGTCAATGAAAACTGTATCTAACTTGCCCTATTGGTTTTAGCAAAGACTACAAAACAGTTAATATGCAGATGTTCAAATAATTATTTTTAAAACTATGATCATTGACAAAAAGAAAATATTAAAAAGAAGAAGATTCAGCAAGTAGGGCCTCAAGAGAAGAAATGGAAAGTACAACAAATGGCCAAATGAGAACTCTAGAAATGAAAAGTACAATAACCCAATTTAAATATTTATTAGCCAGGTCTAATAGCAAACTGAGATGGAGAACAGTTAACTTAAAAATAGAGGAATAGAAATTATTGAGTTTAAAGAAAATGTTTAGAAAAAGAAGTAGAAGACTTCAGAGATTTTTAGCTCAGAGTGAAGGATATAAACAAATGTATAATGAGAGACACAAAGGAGGAGAGAAAGAAAAAGTGGCTGAAAAATTATTTGTAGAAATAATGACCAAAATCTTTTCAAAAGAAAGAAAAAATAATCTTAGATAAAAAATTTAATAAAACCCTTTTAGATACTGAATAGAAATTAATAACTGAACACATCATATTAAAATGTTGAAAGACAAAGAGAAAATCTTCATTGCATCAAGAATGAAATCAGACACCATGTACAGAGAAACAGCCATACAGCCATTGGCTAAGTTTTCATCAGGACCAATAGAGGCTAGAAGCAGTGAAATGACATATTTAAATGCTGAAAGGAAAAAAAAAGAAGGCAACCAGCAAATCTATATCCAGTGAAAATATTCTTCGAATCTAAAGAAAAAGCAGAAAAATTATTTCATAAACAAAATACATTCATTCATAGCAGTTATGTCTTATAAGATATTGAGACAAAATCCTTCAGAATCACAGGAAATGATAGCAGAAAGGACCTCGAATCCACTGGAAGAAATGACGGCCTCAAAAGTAGTGAGGAATAATACCAAGTCTAAAAAGATAAAAATACACTTAATGCTATTTCTATGAAGTTCAAGACAGGAAAATCTAAATGATTGTGTAGATGTCAGAAAGACAGTTAACTTTTGCTGGCTGGGAGGGGTGACAACTGACAAAGATTGTCCATGAAGGAAGCACAAGGGAATGTGAAATATTCTATCATTCCATCTGGACAATGAATTACACATAAACTTTATTCAGTCACACACTTAAGATGTGTACACTTTTCTCTGACTGCTTTATCAATTGAAATAAAACTAATAAAAAATGAAACCTAAACTCTTTCACACTGACCAGTAATCACAGCCAAGAGCCCAGAATAATTTGGAATATTATCATTATTATCACCACTTCTTTACCCTATCTTGACACTTACACTTTTCATCCAGCTACAGTTGCACAGCTCCACCTCTGGTCCATTCTTTTGGAAGACCCCATAGCCATAGGACAGTTAACACCTATGGAAGACTCATAAATGACATGATTTATGGGTATTTAGCAGAAGATAAGTTGTATGTATCGCAGACTGTCCTGTGCAGAAAGTACAATACATGTGAGTGAGACAGTCCCTCTAGCACAGAAAAGAAGGACAAACTAGACCTTCAGAATATGGTCCAGTTTTTAGAGTTCATCAGAAGAACACAGATCAAGGTGTCCTCTCATCTGGGCATAGGAAAGTGAAGTGACTGCAGGTTCTCCCCAGATCAGTGGCCCGTGGCTTTGGAGATGTGTACATGAAACTCACATTTTTTCACATCCACAGTCACTTCCTGGCTTCACCCATAAGAATGATGGTCTGGCTTCCCAGTTACTTAAGAACTGTGCACACAGGTTGTCCGTTACTAAAATGACAATTAAAAACAGTGACTTTGGTTAAATGCATATCAGTAGTTACATTCTGGAGGGAAAAATGAGCAGAGGGGATATATTTTAATACCAAATGAAAAATCACAACCTTGTAATTCCTGTCTCTTCCCATATGATTTATTATGGTTGTGCTGAAACTTCAGAGTATCAAATGAACCCCACATTGTC